TTATCCTCTTATATATATATATACACATACACGCACACATAAAGTTTTGTTGTAATTCCATAAGAAACTATGTGTTTTAAAGTCAAAATTAGCAGGGATTATTTTATATTTTCTACACTCTATACATACTAACATAAATCTATTGCATACATGTCTAGGTACTTTACATGATAACCCTAATTTAGTAGATTCTTCACACACACAACCCTAAACCCTACACACACTTATATATAATTGTCCTTTTTTTTTTAAGTTTAAATGTCTTCAGTTCCTAAAATTTGGGATAAGTTTTTTTTTTTCTCTCTAAATTTAAAATTCTCTTTATTACCTATGATTTCAAATATATTTTTTTTAGTCGTCTTGTTCAAACATCATTAATGCATTTGCCACCCATAATTCACTTACTACTATTTTTATAAATGAAGACATGCCAATTATTGCTACAGAAATAACTTAAATTTAGTAATATTTTGTCATTATGTTATTACATAATTAATATCTATTTAAATTCAATATATTCTCTATGCAGTGTTGTTCATTCTGCAATAAAAATGAGATTTCATCTTCATTTAGCAAATTAAATTAAAAGATTAATTATTAAAAAAATTACTAGCTTCACTTTTCATTAGCCAGATCCAATGCTTATCATAATTTTTTTTTCTTTTTAATTTCATTCAGACTTTGAGTGTTGGCTAAAATTTTGTCATCCTTTCAAATATTATAATTTCATAAAACCTTTTTAAATCTTATAAATTATTTGATGATGAATTCATTAAAGTTTAAACTACAAAATTATGTTATAAAAGTCTTTTAATATATTACAAATTTAAATTATTTTTAATTCTTGTAAAATAAGAGAGTTTTGATTTTAGTTCCTATAAATTATTTCTTTATTTTTCATCCTTATAAAATTATAAACATTATTTTTTATCTTTGTAAAATAAATTTGATCATTGTAAAGCGAGTAAAATTTGTTTTTATCCTTATAAAATATATATTTTTTAATTTCAACTCTCTAAAATCTAAAATTACCAATTTTGGTTCATAGCGATGATTTTAAGGTAGATAATTCATTTTAAGAACTTATAATTTTTTTAAAGGTAACACATATTAAAATGGTATCACTAAAAACTATAGATAATATTTGAGATGATCACTTAACCTTTTAATAAATAAATAAGTAATTAAAAATAATTACATAATAATAGAGACTATAAAAAATAGTTCTAAATTTTTTAAGAATGAAAAATAAAGAAAAAAATTTTGCAGGAACCAAAGTCAAAACTTGTTTGTTTTTTTAGAGACTAAATACTTATTTCAACCTATATTATATGTCATTATACTTTTGTACAGTCTTTTAAAATTCATATTTTTTATATATATTAATATAGTCTTTTGAAATTTCAATATTGTAGCATTATAAGTTTTTGCTAATTATTGTGTTTTATAAATAATTATGTATTGTAGTGTTTTGAGGAGTTTTTAGGTGTTTTAAAAGGTTTCTCTCAGTAGAGGCCTGATTTGATCCAGAGAGGAGAAACATATAAGTTTCTTTTGAGACTTAAGCCTCATAAACTCGTTTTCTCAAAGAACTTAGAGAAAAAGTTTGAGAAAGATACTCTAGGATTCAAGGTAACATTTCTTCCTTTTGATTCTACAGTGGACCTCTAATTCCTTCTCTAATGGGAGTTGTTGTTGATAAACTAAGTTGTAATTCAAAATTGTTGAAGCTAAGGATCGGTGTTGATGCAGTGTCTCGAAGTTGCTCAAAGTTTGACTTTCAGTTCTTCTTTATTGGTTCTCTTCAGACTCGAGATAAAGAAAGTTAGAACTTAAACATTAAATTGAGTTGGTTGTTGAATGTGTTTAATTTGTATCTAAGTTGTGGATTGTGTTGGTGGTTTGAAGATTAAATTATTGCATGGTGAAATTTTTTTGGGTCACTTTTGGGGTGATCAATCTTGGTTACATGTTGATTTTGTTGTTAAAGTTGAATTGTTGATGATGAATATATGTGGTATATTGGATTGCATGTTTTGGATTTTAAGTGAAAAATTCATTTTTTCTATAATGCATGAATTGAAGAAACTTATTTATTATGGATTCACAATTTTTTCTCTCTCATAAATTTAGTTAACAAATTTAATCTCACATTGTAAACTAAAATATATAATTTAAAAAGTAAGACCTCACATTCTTATTTAGATGTTCTCAATATTTTTACTTTTTCTTTGTTTTGTATGCACATTCTATACACTACAATTAGCCTAAATTTATGACAAAAATATTTCTTGACTATTTTAATAATCATCTTAAAATTCATGCATAACATGATTTATAATCGGTAATGATTAAAAAAATACACTTAAAGTGTATAATAATCAAATCCAACATTTTTTTGTCCAAAAAATATTCAAACTTAACATTTATTTTCTAAACCTTGTTTTTTTACACCATTTTTAAATCATGTTAAACTACTATTCTTTCTTCTTTATCAATATACTTTTTATCATTAACGACTCATTTCTTTTAGTTTATCCTCTTCCACCTCTAAATATAAATTAAAATTCAATATTTTTTTAAAGAAATTGTCAATTGCTTAAATTACCATTATATCATAATCTAAAATTACCATTACGAATCTAAAATATATTTTGCATATTTAAGTATATTTATTTATTATTAATTTTAATTATAATATTGTTTATGCATTAAAATATCATTTTTGGTATGATTTTAACTATATAAAATTATTATTTACTCTTAAACCAGTATTTTTAATTTGTGCATTAATTATTAAAAGTCTCGTACACACCTTTAAACCAAGAAAAAAAAGTTCCACATGAATTTCAATATCTCCTATCCAACAAAATCCATTTTCCAATCCCTTTTAACTAAGTTGCTAGACCATCCCTGTAATTAATTAAGTTAATTGATAATTAAACTACTAGGGCGCAACGCAACCCTTTTAGTTAATTAATTTTTATTTGCCTCACAATAAATATAATCATCACTGGAAGAAAAAATAAAAGGCGCTAATGTGGGTGATATTATAATTAGAACAAGAACCGGGCCCAACAAAAAAAAAAAAAAAAAAAAAAAAAAAAAAACTCATAAATCTGACCCACGTTGATAATTTGGGTTTTTGGGCTTCAACTAATATTCAAACTTATACATAATCGTACTTGTAATTCGTCCAAATAATATCATACTTGTAAAAATATTCTCATAATTTAAGAATTCTAAAACAATTCAACCGTGGTTTATCAAGAATATTATAAAAATGTTTAATTTTAAAAAGTAACAAGATGTTTTCACAACTCAAACTGCATTAGTGATTTACGATACTACCCTTCACATGGACACGACGCGTGCGCATAGCTTCTCACCCACACGCCGGAAACGCCAGTTTGGCGTCCCTCCACGTCATCAAAGTGGGCCCGAACCCTCTGTCAAACCCTAAATGCACAACACATTCACATTCACCCCAAATTCACTCCAAACTCAAATCCAAATCAAAAGAATCGAGCGGCAGCGAAGGCGACACGTGGAGGCATGGCGAGATCAGCACCCTCCATGCCAGATCTCGCGGTCAGGCTTGGGGACAGCCGAGAAATCGACGGCATCCGTCGGATGGAGAATCGAGAAGGAATCAAGGGCTGATAAAGCTTCCCGAGGCACCCGCGGGCAGATCTGATCGCCTTTAAGAAGAGGCCATAGCCCCCTTTCATTCCTCGCACAGATTAGGGTAACCCAAGTTTCCCAAACCCTAAACGCTACGCTCATCACTTTTCAGATTTCTCCCCTCCCAATCGGTGCTTCAGCCGGCGGCGCGTGAGGGTCTCAATCGGCGCGTGAGGGTGCGGTACGCGCGTGAATCCTACTACTCCGCTGACCTATGCTTTGTTCAACCCGCATTGGAAAGTCCATGCCGGAGAGAGTGCGGAGTCTCACCGGACGGCGTTGATTTCGCGCTTCTATGGCTTCCGCCGTCTTAGCTAACCGGAACGAACGCAATTCGCCACAGCATAGAGGCGGTGGAGCTGGATTCATGGGAAAAGTACCTTTCTCTAACCCTAACCCTAATTCTAACCCTAAATTACCCAAGAGGACCCAATCGGCTTCCGATGACGCCTCCTCCATCAACCGGCGGCCCAGCGACGCCGTAACTCACTCTCAGTATGTGTCCTTCAACATCACATCGTACACGAAGAAAGGCCTCAACGACCTCAAGAATCGCCTCGTCATGGAACTCGAACAGGTTCGGAAGCTAAGGAATCGAATCGAGTCCGGCGAGTTTCAACCGGGGCAAAGCTTCAACGGCCACCCCAAGAAATCCTCGAGCAAGAAGGTTTCCGGCAACAAGCGGCCCTTGCCCTCGAATTCCTCGAAGGATTTGAAACGGTCGCATTCTGAGGTTGGGAACATGATGAAGGCTTGCTCGCAGGTTTTGCAGAAGCTGATGAAACACAAACATGGCTGGATCTTCAATGCTCCCGTCGATGTTGTCGGAATGGGTCTGCATGATTACTACGACATAATTAAGCACCCCATGGATCTGGGTACTGTGAAGACGAATCTCGCAAAGAACGCGTACGCCACTCCCTCGGATTTCGCCTCTGACGTGAGGTTAACTTTTAATAACGCGCTCAAATATAACCCTAAGGGTCACGATGTGTACGCCATGGCGGAGACGCTTCTGGCTAGGTTTGAGGAGCTTTACCGGCCGTTGCAGGAGAAATTCGAGGGTTGTATCAGACAAGATCACGATTTTGAAGAGGAATTGCAGGCTAGTTCGTGGAGCCACGTTGAGGCACCGGAGAGGGTGAAGAAGAAGGAGAATCCGATCCCTCCGGCCAAATTGCAGCAACAAGAGCCTCCGCAGCCTCCGGCGAGTTCTTCCAACCCTCCGTTGCTGCAGTCTCCAGTGCGCACGCCTTCGCCAATGCGGGCACCTCCGGTGAAGCCCTTGAAGCAGCCTAAGCCGAAGGCTAAGGATCCCAACAAGAGGGACATGAGTCTCGAGGAGAAGCACAAGTTGGGGATTGGGTTGCAGAGTTTGCCGCCGGAAAAAATGGAGCAGGTGGTGCAGATCATAAGGAGGAGGAACGGGCATTTGAAGCAGGATGGGGATGAGATCGAGCTAGATATTGAGGCTGTTGACACAGAGACCCTTTGGGAACTCGATCGGTTAGTCACCAATTACAAGAAGATGGTTAGCAAAATTAAGCGGCAGGCATTGATGGGCAACAACAGCAACAACAATGTGGCGTCTTCCAAAGGCAATGGGGTAAATTTTCTACCATATTTGTTTGATCGCTCTGTGTTCTTTACTTATCCTCGAGAATATGGTTGTTGGCTTGTGCTAATTTTGCTGCTCTTGATGTGATCGAATTAACAGGAGTTGGCTTCTAGCGAGAAAGCTGATGGGGCGCCAGTTGAGGTTAAGAAGCCAAAGAAAGTAGAAGCAGGGGATGAGGACGTTGACATTGGGGACGAGATGCCAATGAGTATGTTCCCCCCTGTTGAGATTGAGAAAGATAAAGATGTTGCTGGAGGCCATGCAAGTAGTAGTTCTAGTAGCTCTAGTAGTTCAAGCAGTGATTCCTCATCGTCAAGTGGTATTAATCTGCTCCACGTATATAGCCTTTGGTTTGTAGTAGGAAATGCTTTTAGGACGGAGGAAAACTTAAATTTGATTGCTATTTTACAGATTCGGATTCAGGCAGTTCCTCGGGGAGTGATTCTGAAGCAGACAATGGGCATTTGTAGCAGCCACGGGATTTTTGAAACCAATGGTCAAACTGATCATTTGGGTAAGCGGATGAAGAAAATGTTTGCTTCATTGGCTTCCTCTGAGGGTGCGGCAAGTACATGGATGAGGTATGCGCATCTAATTTATATATATATTTTTTTATTCGTCGGTGTCAATTGTGACTCGGATGAAATGATAGGCTAAATATGTTATTGCATTTGGTTTCAGGGATTGTTACCGTTATTTGTTGGTTCGGTTTGGGAGTAGTAGCGGTTTGGATTGTGGCACTGAGCACCTGCTCCAGGATTTGTGGTGTGACATAGTTGTACAAATGATGATTTCGAAAACCGAAGTAATGATCAAAACAATTCGTAGGCCAGGAAGTAGTGTTGAAAATCCTAGGATAGAATCGTTAAAAGATTAGGAATAGAACTGAGAGAATTAGTGTTTTTTTGGGTTTACCTTGTACACATTACAACAGTAAATAGATGGAACATCTTTTTAAAGGCCTTTCTTGCTTATTTATGAAGTAGAGATTCCGAGATAGTTGTTAACTACATTAAAAAAAAAAAGATAATCTTTTAACATTTTTCATAATCTGCACATTCTTTGAACTCAAGAAGAAAATTAAAATAAGTAAAGTACCAGAGTATCACGTGTGAAATTGATAACTAAAACTTATTGAAAATGATTCTATGTGAAATTGAGCACTGAAATTTAGTTATAATGATATGTGGAAATGGTTAACGTTTTTTAGCAGTGGAAGATCACTACTAAAACCAATTTATAATGACTTAGTATTTATTATGTTAAATGATTGAAGATTAATTAATTAATAATTGACTTGTTAATAAATTGTTAATATTGTGATTATTATTGTGGCGAATGACTTGTTTTATTATTGAGGCATTGGAATACCAATTCATATAAAAATTGTTACTGAATGAAAGACGAACTGACGAAGTCAAATATTGGATAAAGCAAAAGCTTATACCGAGATGTCAACTGGTCGAGAAAAAATTTCATAATCGTACCACGGAACCTTAAAATAAACACACATGTTTTGCTTTTGAAGATATTAATTAACAAACAAAAGATATTAAAGATAAAACTTAAGCACCATATAAGTTCATATCTGTTACCAACTCAAAACGTCCTAATGTGAAACACAGTTAAGTTTACAAAATCAAATCGTATCCAAAAGATAAACAAGAATAACAATTTTAAAATTTATCAAAAATTCTTACTGCAAACACTTAAAAGGGTGTTCGGAGTATCGTTCCCATCATACAAAAGCTGCGGGCTGCGGGTAGAACAATGGATAGTATCAGGGATTGCCTCTTTTTGAACGGCCCTGTATTTTCATCCCGCATTTCCAGAGTCATCAAATGGGCAAATTTCTGTGTTTATTTTTCTGACTTCTTCAAGGTAATGAAGTGCTCACCAAGATGCGTCTCAAGGGCAACTCGAGTATCCGGTGCCAAAATTTTAACAAATTGTTTGGTGAGGTTGAACTTAGGCAAGAACTCCAAGGCCTTGACACAAAACTTCTGTACCTCCGTCCGCCTTGCTGGTTTACTTGGCATATTAGTCACTAATTCTTTCATTAGATGAGAAAGTTTATCCAAACTGTTTTTAAGAATTTTTTTGGATGCACTCTGTTCATCACTATTCCCTGTTGCCAGTGACTTCAATATTTCCATTACCAAATCAAGTGCTTCCACTCGTCGAAAGTCTGATTTAGCGCTTCCACATCTCTCCAAAATAAAGTCAAGCACAGCATGTCCAATCCATGGTCGTCTTCGAAATATTTCTTTCAAAAATCCGGATTTAATTTGAGACTTCTTATTGTCAAAATATCCCACCAACACTTCACGGAAAATTTGAACAATCCTCTCCAACTCAGACTCTGCAAAATTTCTTGAATCCACAATTTTCAAAATCCAGAAGGTGGAAGTTTGGGCAAGGGAAGAAACCATTTTCTGTCGGTTCCATGCAGCTGATTTTTTTGATGTGTTAGATGCAGACTTCTGTCTTTTAAATGGTTTTGAAGCTAGTTTCAAATTTCTTTCCAACAGAGATTCAAGAGTGGACAACTGGACTCCATCACCCCTAGGATAATCCTTTGCTTTAAATATCTGCTTTTGTAAAATTCCCCATATACGCTGTCCAAGCTGCTCACTAACTTCTGCTGTATGAGGGTTAACAAAAGCCTGAGCCAAATTTGAGTAAACCATAAGAACCTGAGGCTTACCTGTATAATAACAAAACACCATGAGCTTTTATGTACAAAAAAATAAAAGATGTTCAAAGTTCATTAGAAAGTCACAACCTAAACACATTGAACTGATAAATTATATGTATCACAATAATCAGAAAATGAACCTCAATTTCAACTTCCCCAGGCCTGTCAGATGATCAATACTCATCATTCTTTTAGCTCTTAAATGGTGCAAAATAATTAATGTCATCTAGGACTCTACTTTGAAAATTAAATTTTTTTTATACAAAAATGTATTTGTAAAATATAAAATTAGCATTTTTGTTTTTTAAAATCTCATTGAATATATGATATACATTAGGAAAATAGCAGTATTGAAAGCACAAAGCTAACGCAAGAAATGATAAATGACTTATCAAATATATACTTGCCTGGATTTTCATGAAGGAAAATCTCCAACAATGAAAGGATTCGAAGTTTGAACAGCACAAGCTGGGAATGGGCAGTTTCACCTCCAGATTGATTTTTTTTCTCTTTAAATATCTGGGCAAGATATGTATCAATCCTGAACATTGCATCATCATCCATCCCACTATCAGAATCATCGGAAGCTTCAGAATGAACACGATCAGTCTCATCCACCTCAACTACTGACTCAGAGTCATCTGTCTGCCCATCACTCTCACCCGTTTCACCTATCTCAGCTTGATCAATTTCTTCATCTTCAATATTGAGAAAGTCATCATCATCATCATCATCATCATCTTCTGCACTTGCTGCATCTGGATGTCTTGCAGGTTTTAAATTCTTCTTAATGACACGCAACATCCGCATCAATCCATCATCAGTGATATCACCACAGAAATATTTAAATACCTGCAGAGAGCTAGCTGTGTTACTAAAATAGAAAGATAGAACATAAGTCATGATATCTTGATCAAGTTTAAATAGCAAATCCTGCCAGAGACAACCAAATTTTCTTAAAGGACATTGTCTTTCAACATCTCTTATGAACACCGCACAATTGTCATATATAGCTCAAATAATTATTAATCAGTCTCGAACAATTCTATATCATCATAATTCATCAAAACCAAAAATCACAGATTGCATCAAAACCAAGCAGGTATAGCCATTAAAAGTGGAAACATAATCACAGGAACAGTGCACTCAACCTCGATCAACAGTGGATTCATAACTAGAATAAGAAGGTGAACAAAGATTAAGGAGACTTGCAAAGGATGGGTTTGGATTTGGTGGTTGCTACATAAAGAGAAAAAAAAAACAGAAATCTTGAGGGAGCTACATGATCACCCACAAACCAAGACGGTATCTGAAAATCAACAGATGAGTTAGAGGGGCCTCTTCTGGTTTTGGCTATTTGTAGAATAAAATTACCATTCCCCCCATCCTTTATACGAATAGGTGCTTTAAAAATGCCCATGTCTCCATGAAACAGGTAGAGAACTAGAATGTGATGTAGACTCATAAAAGCCCAGATCAGGAATTACTTAGAATAATAAAGGACTTTAGTTTCCTTTAACAAAAAAAATGCAAATATGTATTAGTTGGAAAATTCATGATATCTTCAAAATTTGGATGAGGCCAAAAAGAAAGAATTTGACCCATTTCAACAAGCAAAGTCAATAATGCTAAGATTATAATTAGAAGGAATTTTATTGAGTATCTAAATGGGGGGGAAAGGTTAGATAAGTTACTTTCTATTTACAATTGAATATTTGAACATCTAACCTATCCTATTAAAACAAAATCAAAATTAATGCCACCCAAACATAACATTCAGTATTTCCATGTAGTTCTAGCATTCTTTGAGAAGGTTTATGTATTTCCCTCCGGAACATATTAAAATGCAACATTTGGGTATGCATGTAATACAATGGAAGACCACAAATCTACTTGATGTACAAATATGAAGCTGCAAAAGATAAACACATTTTTCATCATAACCTGTTCAATGGAAGACCGCATAGGAGCTGATGACTGTGGAAGCAGGGAGAGTAATGTATCCACAAGAACATCCATCAATTCAGGAGCATCATCAATCTCCATATCACCACCAGGGGACTCGGGAAGATCAGAGGCAGAAAAGGCCTTCTTACAACAAATGATGAGTTCAGATGCAGCTTCTGAGTATTCACCTGCACGAATAAGCACTTGTAGAAGCAGCTGGATAAGCAAGTATCTCAGTGCATGCAATCTATTAGCACCAGTGCTACAGTCGTGGCTCCTTTCCTGCATAATATTACCACAAAAAGATGAAAAACAAGCATATATACTGAATAAAATAAATGAATTTATAACAAAAAAACACACAATTCAGTCACAATTTATTTAATAGTACAAATGCAGAAACAAGTATAGAGATAGTAAAAGAAAATCAAAGATGTAAATAAAATAAAGTTTTATCACAAAAATTGATAAGTAATGTTCTATCCTTCAACATTCTCCAAAAAAGTATAAATTGAAAAACACAATGATAATTCAATACTTTCATCTGGAGAATGACATGATAATCGGACTATCAGCCATAATGCATATGAAGGTCAGAGATTTTTAAGAAATTTTGATATTTCTATTTTTTTTATCATTTCCAACAATCCTTCATATTCATGTAAATTGCAAGGAGCATAATAATGTACTCCATCTTTCATATTCTTAAATTGTCACATGCCCATAAGTATACACAAATACTTTTAGATTACACTGCTAGTATGCCCAGAGACATTAAGAAATTAAAAGTGCCTATTTTTTAAATACAAACAAAACAAGAAAAATCCGAAAGTGGCAAAGCCATGCATATAAATGGTGATAGTAAGCCCTAAATTCATATAGAGGAGTGATGGCAACTAGAGAGACTTCCACGATGCAAAGACACAACCAACAACCACCAAACATAGTATTCAAAATAAAGATTTTCTAAAATCATACACATAAATGACATAAGACATTTTATTCATTAATACATGAAATTAATTAGCTTCCATCATAGTGAAAGAAAAGGACCCTATTTAGTTTTTGTCTATGCATCAATAGTAGGTCACAGAACATAATTACCTCTTTCAATAATCTTGCCTCCATTGCCTGCAAATTTTTTACTGCCTTTTCATCCTCACCATCTAAAGATCGAAAGAGGGAAACTGAAGGAATGTTGCATAAGGTGCCAAAGAATTTCAAGAAGTATGAACCAAGATCATTTGGCTCACTGCTATTAGTCAAGGGATGCAGACCCTCCCCTTTCTGAGCACTGGCCAATAACAATTGCAGCTGGTCTATACACATTTTGCAAAGAGTATTGGACGTGGGAGATTTGGGCCACCTCAATCTCTCCTGTAACTCAAACGAAGTTACCTCAGAGCCAAGAGATGCAGTGAACAGACCCTGAACAGCCAGAAACTTCATGATTTCTTTCTGAACTCGGAACTTCTCTTCATGATCTAACTTCAAGAATTTCAAAATACTGGGTAGGGATTCTATAACCCAACTCTTTAAAAAGTCAGAATTCCCATTGGTCCTAGGAGAATCCTTATCCTCAATAGATCCTATTTCAGAATTTTCATCTGTAGTTTGACTCTGATCTGAAGGTTCCTCCAGGGCATTACCTTCGTCCACAAACAGATTCATTAAGTTCTGAATAAAAAGCATGCAACCAGGTTCAGTTTTGAACTGTGACATAAAATCTTTAACATGTTTTGTTCGTGTTATACGATCAAATTTCCCATTGCTATGCTTCTGTATGGACACTATAACAGCAACTCTTCTAACGTCATCATCCCCGACCCAATCTGACAACTGTTTAAGAAAATGCTGTGCAACTTTATACAGCCATGTGTTCTTTGTCGATAGTACATCCACCAGACACTGAACAACTTTGTTTGACAGAAGAACCGGAACTAAAGATGCAGGCAGCTTTTGGAGAAGAAGAAACAGAACATCAAAAGCCAAGTGCTTACGATCATGAGATGAGATGAGAAGAGATCCTTCAATAACTATTTCACAAAAAGACCGAAGATTCTTTGCAATCTCTTCATCAGAAGAGCTAGATTTTCGACTCTTTTTGTGTTTCTTTAATGAATTGGAAGCCGATGCTGCATCTTCTAATTGCAAAATAGTGTTGGGTAAAAGAACATTTACCAAAACTGGCCAGACACTATGAACACGGGGCTGACAGAAAGTTGATTCCTGTCACATTCAGAAAATATATAAGAACAATTTTTTTTATTACTTCATCAAAAACAGTATGGCCACACAGACAAATGAGAATAATTTACCTTCAAGCAATTACTCAGGGAGGAGAGGTGATCAGCAGAGAAAAATTGGCTAACACTGAATGGATTTGGCAGCAGTTTGCCAAATACGGCACTGTCAATAGAAATCTTCTCTCGAACTTTTAAAGCAAGGAGCAAAGCATCAGGATTTCCTACATCTATAGCAGCTTCAAACCACTGCGGGAGCCCAGGTGCTTCAAGAACATGATTAACCAATGCTTCGACAGGCAACTACAAATAACATAAAAAAAAATTTTAAAAAAACATGCAATAGCCTCAAAATAATAATAATAATAATAATAAGGATTAAGAGGTTAAACATATAGCTTGAAGCAGAGAGAAGTGAGCCTCAAGAATAACTAGTGAGTGTTGTGCACACAATAAAACAAACAAAATACTGTATAACAATTAACAAATGGGCCACAAGAATTACAAAGATTGGCAGATGGACTTATGAGAAAGTGATCTATTGATAGCATAGACACTGCTAACGTTGCAAGTAGTTGTTTCTTGTTTGCATGTTCCTAGAGACCTAAGCACACACACATGCATACAGGGATAGGAGGGTGGAAATGTTTGCATATCATCAAATAGCAACAAATATGAGAATAGCAATAGCTTGAAACCCAGCAGAGTATCATACAAAAATCCAAGAATCTAATCTAATTTGAGCTAGCAATCCAGTCCTAAAGATTCACCAAAACATCCCATAAGTCAAAACGTTTCATTCACATTATCAGTTTATCACAACTGAACAGAATAAAGCAATGGCTACCCACAAATTTTGTACATATAAATGAGGGATAAAAAAATAAAAATCCTTTTTATGACTAATTGAAACCCATGACAATTCAAATCAATCAAACTTTAGGAGTAAAATTCTCTTAATTTTTATAATATACAAACCTTTTCAACCATGTCTAAAATTATTGAGACAGCAGGCTCCTGCAAGTACCGCTTCTTATTTGCAAGAGAGATAAGTACACTGATAAATTCTCTTATGTATGGAGTACTTTTATCCATACTCCACTCCTGTGCAAGTCTTCCTGATCGAGCCAGAGCTCCATACGCAAATAAGCGACCCAATAAACAATCTTTTGCTTCCTACAATTTCACAAGGAATACATAAATATATTACTTATCACGCTGACAAATGAACAAAAACAAAATAACTATGTTACTGTCATTTCCTACCTGACCCTTCATTGATGAAGTTACTTCTAGCAAATTGACTACAAGTTTAAGGAACGATTCAATCTTTATGTTATGAATAGTGCCAACTACAGCAGTTAAACCTAAAGCAAAACCTTGGCGAGCACACTGCAAAAAAAAAAAAAAAAATGTTAACTCAACAATAATGCAGTAAGTAAATTTACAGAATCAATAAGCAGAATTTATTTATTCCAGCGAAAACCTATACAAGCAAGACAGAGAAAGCAATGAAACATGATCAGAAACATTTTTCTAACACAGTGAAGGGAAGAAAAATAAATATCAGAGATGACTTTTCAAATAAAATATGTGACAGTAAGCCTCCAGATCCATGCCACTTGCACTTCATAGAAAAAGAGCATTTTAATTTCAACAGAAAACCAATGCAACAGAATAATTATCGTGCAAATATATCAACAAATTCGATATATGTATTCTTAAAAGCCATGAGGAACAAGACAAAACAAAGGTAATTTAGCAGTAAACTAAAACCAAAACGAAAAAACAAGTCAATTAAAGTGAAGAAAAACTAGCAAACAAATCTCAAGACCAGTTGGACATAACTTAAAGCAAGCATTCATATATTTAAAATTAAAATAAAACACAATGCTAGTTTCAATGCTACAATATAACTCCATCACACAAAGTAACAAACCTCTCTGGATGAAGAAACACCACGAATAAGCCTACGAACAGCGTATCCCACAGAAGGAGCACAGTTATCCAATCCATCATCCTTCTCGGCTTCCAGCTTCAATGCGCCGTCTCCATTATCCTTCTCCTCAAGCGCATCGTAAGCGTTCTGAACCTCCTTCAGCTCAGTCACCATTTGCTTCGCGGCGGCTTCCCTCGCCGTGACGGACGCCGCCGCCAGGTCCTTGAAGACGCCAATGTGAAACTCCGGGAGAGTGCCACCGCCGCTGGTGCTTGGAGAATCAGCGGGAAGAGGCGCAGGTTTGGGCTCGGATTGCGGTGTGACGCGGCGCCTCTCCTTGTCCAAGGCTTTCCGCTTCTTCTTCCTCTCCATGGGCTTGATTGAAGATTGTTCATCGCTAGTGGTGCTCTTCAGTTTCTTGTTGAGCGGTTTGGGAGAATCGTCGGCGGCGAGGGTTTGTTCCTCGGGAACAACGGAGTTCCTTTTCTTGCTGCTGCTACCCATGTGGCGTTGCGGTGGAAGACGGCGTCGTTGTGGGTTTAGGGTTTCAGTTCTTAAACCTCCCACAACTCACTCACTCCACTGCCAACTCAATGAAGACGAGGTTAATATTTTGCATTTTGCCATCTTGGATTCCACCCTTTTATTTATTCTTAAAACGAGGTTCGTCATATTTTTATTTTTATTTTTGCAAAATAATAATAATATGTTTCAAATCTTAACTGAAACATTATTATTTTTATTATTAACCGAAATATGTTTCAAATCTTAAAAATATCATTTTATTTTATTTTTATTTTTGTAATTTTAAATCTTTAATAATTTCGTAGTGTTAATTTTTAGTCTTTAAAATTAACTCTAATTAATTTTATGTATATTAACAAAATACAGAATATTGATTGAGATAATTAAGAAAATTTATTATATTTTAAATTAAGATAATAAAATTATTTTTATTTGCATAATTTAATTAAGTAACATGTTTATTATTTTATCTAAATAATGTAATTACAAAATAATTTTATTTTGCAATTTCTTTTTAATTTTTCATATATTATGTACACCAGTTATTATTATTTTTAATATTATTATTACTTTTCAATCCACTAATTTACTTTTAATATTATATTTTTTTAAAATATATATTTACATAAACATTTATAATTTGTTTTTAATATTTTTCTTTTATTTTTGGAGACAAAATTACTGCTTAAAATATATATATATATATATATATATAATACAACCAAAAAAATTAATAAATTGAAAAAGGGTTGACAAAAAATAAATTGATATTTTAAAATATCATTAAAAGTGAGATATTAACAATATTTCATAACTGTCTAAGTAAATTATAATATTTTTTTAAAAAAATAATATTAAAAAAACTATCAAAATTGAAAACTAGGAATAAAATTAAATATAAAAAAGATTTAAATATTGATAAAAATAAAATTAATAACAATCACTATTCATAATATGTTAAAAATTAAAATAAACTATAAAAACAAAGTATATATAGTTACCTATTTATATAAATAATAAATATATTATTTAATTTAATTATGCCAGTAAAAAAATTCTTATCTTAATTTAAATTATTTTTTGTTATCTTAATTAATATTCAATCTTTTGTTGCCAATTTTAGCCTTAAATTAACTATAGTTAATGATAATGATTTAAAAGAAAACACAACAAAATTATTAAGGATAAAAAAAAAAAAAGACATGACAAAATTATCAGAAACTTTAAATATATTCAAGTCATTATTGTATTATTATTAATATTTAACTACAAGACATTACTGGGCCAAACAACTTATAAAATTAAATATTAAAATAAACTATTTTTTATAATAAGTTAATAACACATTTTTTAATAACTTTAACTAAAATAAAAAATATAGATTATTATTTATACAATAAAATAACAAATGTAATACATATAATATAAATTGAATAAAGTATGTTTATTATAATAATACATAAATGCTAAAAATTTAAAATAAAATACAATCTCCATAAAAATTTTACTTTAAAAATGGACATTAACAATGTATATAATATTCTCTATTTAAAAAATGTATATAATATTAAATATATTATTTATTATCTTAATAATTATAAAATAAAAATATTAAAAAAGAAATTTAATCTACGAGTCAACCTAGTCTATGAGTCAAACCAAAATAACTCTAAATCTAATTTTTATAACTCAATCTGTCTTATTTATTAGACTAATCAAGTTAGTCCATCAAATCAAACTCATTTTGATATCTTTAAAGATTATTACATTTTTGTATTAAAATATTTTTTATTTTAAAGTCAAACTAATATTTAAAGTTGTAAGACCCGCACTTCTTCTTCCTCCTTCCCCTCAACACTCTCTTTTCTCCTCATTCCCTATTCTCTCATTTCAACTTTCTGAGTTTCCTTGTGGTATTAAAGGTTCTGCGTGGATGTGTGGGTAGCTAGTCGAAAGCGCGGACCTTCTCCTTCTTCTTCTTCCTCTCCCCGAAACTCGGATTCTACTTCTCTAAAGTAAGGGAAGCTAGATTGTATGTTGTTTGATTCTAAGTGAGTTTAGGAACTCAAATGATGCTTGAATTTGGAGGATTCATGGTTGGACCGAAGAGTTTCTCATTTTTTAGGTTTTAGGGAAAAATGGAGTTTTTATGATTTTGATGCCTTGAGAAGTTGCATGTTGAATCTGAGGTTGTTTCTGAGTTGTATGAAGTCTATGCATTTCATTTCATGGATTGCATGTGGTTGAAGTTGCTGATTTTTAGGTTTTGAAGGAATTTTCGAGGTTTTTGGAGGTTTCTGGTTGAACATGCGCCGGGCGCAATTCTTGGCGTCAAGCGTGCATTCATCATGGGCCACCATTGTCAAATCTCACCAGGCACGATTTGAAGTGGAAAGTCTCTGGATGGATCACGCCAGGCGTGAAGGGAACCACGCCAGGCGCGCTATCAGATATGGGCCTTGTGTTTTTGATTACTGATATGGTGTCGGGCGTGGAGACTCATTGGGAGTCTCTGTCTGGGATTGCGCTGAGCGTAGGATAAGTGCACTAGGCGCGGAGACCTCTATAGGTCTCTGTTAAGACTCTTATGATCTGTTGTTGAAGTGGAAGCTATCAGGTAGATTGTGGAGTTTCACTTATGTTTTGGTGTTACCAGTAGATAAATGTTTGACTAACAACTTAGGTTGTATAACTTATTTTTACTGGATTACTATACCTATATTATATATAATGGTATAATTGTTTTACTTTATATATATGATATATAGCACTCATTTATGTATCAATATGCATGCAACCCTAAGCCGGTAGTTGTTTATTTTATTATCGTTACGTGTTGATGAATTGTTAAATATAAAGACAATGACATATTGTTACAATTTTGAATTGAATTTTATAAATAGGAATACGTGAAATATTTTTTTTCTTCAAATTGATGTTATTATTTTATTTTCACTTAAACTTTTGTTAGTTAAATTCAACAGACAAATAAAAAACCCATCGAGAAAAAGAAAATCGATACAGGAACAATAGTTAGATTGTTTCTCATGAGAAAAAAAAAGAAATTTATTGTCAAGAAAGTACCGATAAGCTTAGAGTACAAGAATAAAAGGAATAGTAATTACAGTCACCAATAAGGAAATTGACTCGGTTCTCCTTGCATTTCCAATCTATTACTGACAATTAAAAATATAAAAAAATTAAAAAATCTGTCACTAACCAAAAAAGAAAAGTACACTGTACAAGTTTGCAATGTACCCATACGTGCCAAAAAAGAAAGTAATGGAACCAAATATCCTCTCTCCCCGGGGAAAAAAACAATGAAAGAATAAACGATAAGCTTGCCTTGATCATAATCTCCATTTTACTATACTCTTCCAGAGAATCTGTGCTTCATGAGGATTCCATTTTGGCTTCATATGAGTGTTGTGCTGACTACTAATTGTCAGTTTATTACATTTCTTCGGTTGGTGTCATTGAAAAGCAGCTGATGCAAATGAGACACAGGATCTTAATGGATAAACTTTTTAATAAGAACTTTTAAGGAAGAAAAATAAGAATAAAAAATGAAATCAACTTCTCTATAAACTAAAATTAACTTAAGTTTAAACTAATTTGTAAAAACTTTCTTTTATTAACTTTTCTAAAATTTTATTTTTAATTAATGCATAAGTTAGTTTTAATATATGAAAAAACTTATTTCAATTTTTCTTCCGATTTTATCTCCTATAAATGTTTTTGGAGGAACTTATCTAAAGAGACTCATTCTTAAAAACAGAAGGAAGAGATAGTTCATAGTTGACTAAAATGTTCATTCATAGAATGAAATAGGCAGTACCATGAAATGAAGTGATACCTCTAACCATTAAATCCGAAGATAGCCCCCTCTCTCCTGATCTCCTATTCTTAATGGTCTCTTGAGCAATGACTTCCTGTTCAGTGACCAGCTTCTTCCCAGAGCTCTCTTATTTCGCCAAGCAGCAGCTATACGGGTATAAAGAGCTGGGAAAATGAAGCAGAGGAGTACAAGAAATAACATAGCAACGCAGAGTAGCATGACATTGCGAAAACCATCTTTTAGCAGAGGGTCATTTTGACCTGTCCATGGAACTCCTCCAACATTCATGCCAAAGACTGCAATCAGAGTTCAAAAATCAAAATCACACAGTATTGAATAGCCTGTGGATGTGGATAATAACAATTCACAACAAATCAGATTGCTAAGAGCGCCTCCAACGTTGTCCATTGGATGGAGTACTCGTGAAGTTCCACTGAAGCACCGGGTACTTGTTAAGCATTGGTACTAAAATTTGGTTGCGGGCCATGAGTGTGTGCATTTATGAAACAATAAGTAAAAATGAGTGGTGTAATAATTGTAGAGGAAAGTTAGTTGTGGGGTTGGAGAGAATAGTAGCTAAAGTCTAATTGGATACAATCTAAAAGGACTTTTGATGGCTTGAAAATAAAAAAATATTTTCCGATTAAAAGTTATTCTAAACCTACATTCAAACATATATAAAACATATTTGAATACAAGATAGAAGTGTTTTTCAGAGCTTCTCTACAGAAAATAAAAAGTTATTCGGTAGAGAAACTCAAAAATACTTCTAGACTTTATCTAAACTGTCTCATACTCTAAGTTGTAAAATGTAAAAATAAGTTATGTGAACTGTGAGACTCACTTAAGACGTGTAGAAAGTAAAAAAGAGGTGCTGGGTTGGAGATGCTCTAACCTCCTGTTATGATGGACAAAGGGAGGAATATTATCGAGAGGAAGGAAAGATAGTACAGCTTCCTGTTTATTTGCTCTGACTGCCAGCTGTCGAGACCAGCCTGAATTGCTGTGACACGATTTACTATAAACCCCACATTCTCCTTCATCCTCCTTAACCTTCCAATTAGTTCTTCAAGGGAGTTAAGGTCTTCATTGGCAAACCATCTTTTTGAAGAGCATTTTTCTTTTACTCGGAGATACACTTGCTCTCCATGGGCAATCACCTGAATACAATTAAGGTAATGCAAAACCAAAAGGAGGTTTAGTCCATACAATTTGATTTGATATGAGAACAAATCAGATGGAAACAGAAATGTCACTGCAGTTATGGAAACATTCATCATTACTGTAATTTACAAATTCATGATAACATTATTTTCTTTCCTTGTTCTATTTTTTTTCCCATCTAAAGCAATGAAGAAGAATCATTTTCCAGCAATTATGTTTCCATAAAGCCTTTTTATTTTTTTATTTTTGAAAGTAATTTTTAGTAAGCAGTCAGAATTGTAACAAAAGGAAAATGGAGACACCCTATTTTCACACGGAATAAAACACATAAATATCATTTTATATCCTCTCTCCCAGATTTATCTGCATTTATGAATTCAAAAGACACCGTTATTGAATCTTGATGCCATTGAATATACCATGATGATGAAACTGACAACCCTTATGTTTGATCAGAAAACTATGATGTTAAATTATCCATGATCCACGAATAGAATGAGCTTAAGTATGATTTATTTAAACCACAGGTTGATGCCTTTTGATTAGAATGAATACACAAATGAGTAAAGTGTCACCTGCAAGAGACGCTGCAAATTAATATGCAGTTTGGGGAATCTTCTGTCATCAAGCATTTGTTTCTTCAGAGCATAACCACCTACAATTAAGCAGAGCAATTGTCCCTTATTTAATTCTATAAAACTATTTTAAATTTCGCACATCAAGGAACTAGTCTAGAAGAAACTTGCACAAAACATGTTGGAAACGGAAATTTCAGTTTACATACAAAAATTTCACGCAAAATATTCTTAATATTTTATAAACCAGCTATACCAGGAATTATTCCCCTAGTTTCAATTTTTGGCCAGGGGTCAGTGGTGTAAACAATTAATAACTGAATGTCCATCGAAAACAGTCACTTTCTGCTAAATATTAAGCTCTAGGACCTTCACGTGGCCTTCCTCATAGCATATAAGCATAATAGTAGCAAAAACATTTAGATCGTGTTCAAATAAACTTATCCAAAAGCACTTCTAAGTAGAAAAAATAAAATAAGTTTCTCCATAAGTTAAAATTAACTTGTACATAAGCTAATTTGTAGAAGATCTCTCCAATTAAGTTCTCCAAAACCTTATTTTTAACTCTTGTATAAGCTAGTTTTAGCTTATGGATAAGTATATTTCAATTTTTTTTCTATTTTTTTCTCCTAAAAGTGCTTTAGGAGAAGCTTATTCAAACAGACCCTTAAAGGTAGAATGTTTTACCTCCAATCCTTCAAGCATTAGCATATGATGACCTCAAACACTGATTAAAAGAAGGAGACAGGAGGATGCAAGTGCAAGGGTGGCAAGGCCGTATTTTGGAAAATGGATTCAATAAAATATATTAAGCGTACCTTGAAATGTATGGATATATATAGGTTTTGACGAAATCCATAATCACATTACCATTAACTAAATTTATGCCTAAATACTAAGATAAGAAAAAAAATAAAGCAAATCCTATGGACTTCACATGAGATTTAGTGAAATTAGAGAAAGCTCCTCTCTTATTTCAAAAATGTTTTTAATATGACAAAAAACAATAACCTCCAAATGGCAATGTGTTGCACATAGGAACATGTCAAGAAGAGAAACTTAAATTTGATTTACTCGAGCTGGTATGTTGTCTTATTTCTTATGAGATTCTATAGGGCAGGCACTAAATTTAGGTCTTTCCCAAAGAGGAACATTAGCAACATACTATCTCACACACTTTTTTTCAATACACTGCTATTGGATAAAAACTATGTAGGCCCCTCCCCTCCTAATCTATATATAGTGGGTACTACATGGATTTCACCCACAATAAAAAAGTGTTATTAGCAATTTTCCTTTTTCTGATAAATTAGCTAGTAATTAGTTCCATCAGATTAATAATCCCATTGAAATCAATGCAATAATAAACAGGCCAACAATGAAAAGATTAGTAGTGCACCATATAACAACTTTCCCAGGACAATACATAATTAAGATACTGGATAAAGAAATAATTTAATTCAGTTAACAGATGATAATAAAACAATCAGAAAGAGGCTTTGGGGTAACTCTTTTAGTTGGGTCCCTTTCCTCTATTCTTGTGCATACACAAATATAACAACTTAAATTTGTGTTGCCTATTGCAAGATCTAGAAACTAACACAAAGATTTAGGCTTACATTCAGATATTCAACTAATGTCATCAACAAATTTTGTTGGGTGAAATCAGAGATAAAAAAGCTAATAAAAAAAATTAGTCATCAGACAGCACAAACTTCAAATGTCATCTATAAGACAACTTCAACCCTTCTACATTAGAATAGCCACAAAGTATGCTTAAATGCACATCTCTATTCTTTTCAAGTCAATTGATAGAAACTTAAAAACTAAGGCATACTTTCAGTGATCAAGAACAACCTGAATTTGTAATTTGAATCATGAAGAGTACTAAAAGTTGAGAACGAACAGGAAGGGGTAGGATCAAGGAGTGTGTCATGGATATTACCTTTATCCAAGTCAAGCTCCACAGATTCCAATTCCATCTCAAGCTTAGTCACAAGGTCTTGAAGCTGATCTACATGTGTGTCAATTATGTGAACCACAAGATTTGAGAGAGATCTGGGCACAGGGTTGTCAGCTTCCTCAGAGTGATTCATAGTCAATAAGAATTCAAGAACATGCTCCTTGATCACTATCCCACTTCTTTCCTGCTGCTGACCTCTATGAGAAGAGGAGCTTTCAACACTAGGAATCTCCGAAAGCAGAGACTCACCCATGCGTGAGAAGCCTAACCTGGGAACACGTCCCAAGGACACCGTAATTACTGAATGTTCTGTAACTCTAGCAGCAATCCTAAATGTAAAGTCACTAGAGGGAGGACCAGGCGAATTAACCCGGAAGACAAGTGCCCCATCTACATGTGCACAAAAGGGTCCATTGCTAACAAGTGAAAGAATGTCTTGGAGCTTCAAAGGCGGGCAGAAAACAGCAATCAGGTCCTGTGCAGATTGTGACAACTTTTGATTTCCTTTCGGTAGTTCCACATGGTACCAAGAAAACTCGTTGCTTCGACCTTCTCCTACACCCGATTCCTTCCCTTCTTTTACAAAAAGGTCTGCTAGATCCCAATCCTTATGGTAAAAACTTCCCATGCCATCAAATATATAAGCTCTCTTCCTCACCAAGCCTGCAGGATGGGTAGGGTAGACTCGGTGCTCCTTCAGTGGAGCCCGTGCCGAAGTTTCACCATCCATCTCCTCACCCACCCCATTCTCCATAACTATGTGCTGAGCTAGTTCCATAACTTTCAGCAGCAACCCCTAAATAGTCTTCCAACTAATACACAAAATGACAGGTATTCAACAACTTGATCCAGAGACCCAAACTTAGAGACTCAAATTTCCCATCTCATAAACTTGATACTTCAAATCTAACATCACATCCTTTAAAACAATCTGCATGCAATGAATGCGATATTATTAGCAATCTCAAAACCAAAGTCAACAACTCCAGCGCAACCCAATAAGGAATTGATCCAAATTGACCGAAAGTGGGGAACACCCAGAATTGTATTCAAACGACCCAATAGGAAGGTTCACAAAAATCTCCTAATAAAACCCACCACGCGTACTACGAATCAAATCCCGAACCAAAGTTGCAGTATTTCAGATTCTACTGAACTCAGCAAAGTGACACAACTAATTGGAAAGAAAATTATAAATAAATAAATAAATAAATAAATAAAAACTAAAGAAGAAGTGCATTACCTTGATGAATGCCCAAGAAACTCAAACGTTGAAATCGGCTAAAGGGAAAGCGACGGAGTAAGAAAACTTCAAATGGACGAGGGATTTGGCTGCGACAAACTAATTAACTACCAATTATTAATTGTAGAGTGGTTGAGCTTCTTGGAAACTTCCTTCAACTATAAATCCAATTCATATGTGTCCTCTCGTAGTTACGAAATCCCAGATTTGAATTTCTTTTTAAATTGATAAAAATCGTGTACGGATATTTACAACCTTTACACAAACCACTTAACTTAGGGGGGTGTATTGGATTAGGATTTTAAAGGACTTTTTTAGTTAAAAAAATCCTGCGGATTTTAAAAGACTTTGCAGGATTTTCATGACTTTTAAGATTTTGAAAGATTCTACAAGACTTAAAATCAGGATTTTAATGGATTCTGCAAGACTTTTAAATTAAGATTTTAATGGATTCTGTGGGATTTTGTGGAGTTTTGACATTTGATAAGATTTAAAAAAAATTATACATTCAAATTTAAAAAGAGTCAAAGATAAAAATAATAAATAAAAAAAATAATGTCTAGATAAATAATAATAATAATTCTCTATAATATTCTATCCTCTTTTTATAGCATCCACTATCAATTGTAACAATTCATCGGAATCATCCTTAATCCAAGCTTCATAGTTTTCTTTCTCTTTTCATTTTTCTTTATTATTTCCTTGTGAATCTCCCATTTGAATTACTAAAACAATATATGTTAAAAAATAGTTATATAAATAATTACGGATAATAGACAAAATCAATAAAATTATATTATTATTTTTAGAAGCACACCATCATACAAGATCGAATATATTTTTGCTATCCAAATGGATCAAATACCTCAGTTATTATAAAAAAAATGTAAAAACGAAAATATAGAAACATAAGATAATTTTTTATATAAAAAAATTAGTATATTCGATACTGAAAAAATATTTAGATATATAATTTTTTTTATATAAACAGAAGTATTTAGATATAGAGAATATATATATATATATATATATATATATATATATATGATAATTTTTAACGATATTTATAAATATAAATTATTCTAACAAATATTTTAACAATATTTTCTTTTTTAAAAAATAAGTTAATGAAGGCATAAATCCTAAACCCTAAAAAATTAGATATTGCAATGTCTTATGTTAATTTTCTTTTTTTAAAATATAAAAAATCTTAATTTCATAATATAAAAATAAAAAAGAAAAATTCATAGTAAAAAAAATAAAATAATTGTTGAGTCATAAAAGGAGGAGGGATAAGAGTAACAAATTCAAGGGAAATAGAGAATTCGCAATTTTTATGCTAAGAGGGTTCTTCCCCCTACTAAGATCCATTTTTATCTCATTCTACTCACAAAAACCCTAACAAATTTATTTTTTATATATATATATATATATATATATATATATATTGTTGAGATTATGATATCAATTTCATCTTTCACCTTTTTCTTTTCTTAACGTGTGTCATAAAAAAAATTACCACTTAAAAGTTAAAATTTCAAGTATTTTTTTGTGTTATATAAAGGAACAAATTCAACTACATAGAATAAAATAAAGTAAGTCAATTAAAGAGAACGAACAGAAAAATAAAACAAGTCAATGACACTATCATTTACATATTAGAGTTTCACAAAATAGGAGAATGGTATGAGAATAGTATTATATATGAGCAATGAACAATAGTGTAGTATTATTAGTAGAGAAAAAATGGAGAAGACAGGAGCATAGAAAAAAAAGATGAAAAACTCACTTGAAAATTCTTAAAACACTTGAAAAATCATTTCAAACAATCCTTCAAAATCCGATGGGTTTGGATGGGATTGTTTTATGAATCTGGTATTTATAGATAACACTAGAAAGTCTTTCAAAATCCCTCTCACACAACAATCCTTTAAAATCCTTAAATTTTTGAATACCAATTGATTGTTTTTAAGTTGTCAAAAATCTCAAATGAATACCAGTGGATTTTAATGGACTCTTTAAAAAATCCTGAAAATCCAGATTGAATACCACTGGATTGTTTTTAAGTGACATAAAATCCTGATTGAATACCAATGTAATTTTTTGCTCAAAAAAAGTCTTTTAAAATCCTACGAAATCCTAAACCAATACACCCCCCTTAATTTGTAGGATTAAATTTGTTAAAAAAATGTTTTTTTAAGCCCACAGATAAATTCTACAATATCCTTAAAAGTTTAAAGGATTTTTAAATTGTTTTTGATTTTTTTTTAACTATGTGAACATTTGGTATTTTAAAATAATTTGATTATATTTATTATTATTTTATTTAAAAAACTCTTATTAGAAAATTGATTCTTCAAATAGAGAATTGTATTGAATTTTATCTAAGTCCTCGGTTGATGTAGAGTAAAATATGAAGTTGAAGACTTTTACTTTTAATTGATTACTGAAAAGGTTATGTGGTTTCTTGCGGATAATTAGTGGACTAACTCCATATGTAACTTGACAATGCATGTTAAAATCATGGTGCATTTTTATCCAATTATATTATTGTTGATCGTAGAACAGACTTTCCTAATTTAAGTGACAACATCCGATAAATCATGTTTGTGTTATGAATTGATAATTAAATTTGTTGTTGATATAGCAAGCCCAAATAGATTATCTATGTTAATTGGTTTGATAAGGTTAAGCTACTTAAATTATTATCTTTTATTGTAAAAGATCTCCTAATTAAAATACGTGATAACACATGTAGTTGTTATATTGTACATATGATGTGTTGTTCATGTCCAATGTTGATTTGTGATGAAATTTGGTTGATTTGTGGAGTTGTGACAAGTTGATGTCTGTTGCTTCAGGTATCATTTACATTTTTACATACTGAGTTGTTTGTGTGTTGAATGTTTTGTTAAGAGGAATTAATATTGATTTTGTTGAGAGATTATATGTTGATCATGTTGTAAGTATTGTGAGATGTATGTGGTAAATGTGAAGAAATGGTGATATATTATGTTATTCTTCCTTTTGTTATATGTATATTGATTTCTTTAAACTCTAACTTATCCTTACATGTTTTCATGTGATTGAACTATGATAATTATACGTGACATGGGAGTAGATCATGAATAGGTATGAAATATTATTGAGGTGGAGGTTGTTAGGTAAATGGTGGAGTGTTACTTATGTTTTGGTGCTACTGTCGTATAGTGCTTTGTACAGATAGTTGTCTGATCGACAACTTAGGTTATACAATTTACTTTTACTAAATTATTATACTTATATTGTATATAATCATTTAGTCATTTTTATTTTATATGCATGGTGTATAATACTCATTTATGTATCAGTATGCATGTAGTCCTAAGTCATTAGTCATTTATTTTATTACGACTGCATGTTGATGAATCATTAAGTGTAAAGATTATGATGGATCGTTACAACAACCGGAGGTAAAAAAATATTTATTCTATAGAATTTTAAGTTTAAATTTATTTAACCTTTATTATTTTTTAATTATATCTTATTTTTTATTGTGTTTATTAAAATATCATTTTAGCAATATTATTTAGGAAACTATTTGTGGATATTTTAAATATTTTATTACTATTTTAAATCGTCAAACCATTTTCGATTTTCATAAATTTTTTAAAAATATATTTATTATAGTATAAGTTTCATGTTATATGATAAAAATTATTATCAAAAAGTTTACACTTTATAATTATTCACATGTTCTACTAGATTAACTAGATTAAATTAGACTCTTTAAATAATGTTATAAATACAAAGGTTACCCCTTTTTTATAATTTAGATATTTTTTTTATAATAATAGTTTAATATCGTATAAATATACAGTTTAAATAATTTTTAATATTCAAAATTTAATATTTTTAGCTGTTTTTAAAATTACTTTTTATTCAACAAAGTAATTCAAACTCAATATAATATTTTTTTAAAAAAAATCATCGCATATATTACATAAGATTTTTATTTAATGACTATCTTATATATTTTAATATAAACTTTTTTATCAAATTGAAATAATAATCTATTTAATGTGATAAAAAAAATTAAATTAATATTGTTTAAATACTTTTCATTAAAATATGTTAAAAATTAAATGCGCTAAAATTATAAATTAAAGACACGAGAGTTGGTGGTGACTGGGTAGATAGGCAGTGGCCCGTTGAGCAAATGCCGAATTGGATGGTTAATGCAGGCCTCAACCACTGGTTGGGCCTAAACCCTATGGGCCAGGTACAAAAACCCATCTTGTGTGCCACATTTTTTTCTTAAAAAAAAAACAGCTATTTTAGTCCCACCAATCATTCGCCATCAAATCTTTGATAGACTTTTTATGATATAGCAAATTTAGTTTGTCAAATTATTTTAAGCTGGGCAACCTGTGCCATAAAAATATCTGATGTGATAATAATTATTTAATTTATTTTTAAGTCTAGCACCTGAAAATGTTCTTCATGTGACTACAACACTGTTTTTCTTTCTGCTTTTTTTTTTTTTTAGTTTCTAAATCATAGAAAAAAATACACTCTTTTCTGAAAAGAAAAAAAAAAACCTCTATAATAATTTATAAAGTCTTTACACTTAACGATTCACAGCAAACAACAAACAGTAAAAAATAAACACAATTAATTTCCTATAATTATTATATAAATCATACATAAAAATATACATCATAATATATATGTAAGAATTTCAACAATAACCAGAGAAATAAAATTTTGTACAAGTATATATATAGACATACAATAACCCAAATATAATATTATATGCAACTATTACAACTACTAAGGGGTAGCTCCAAAAAGACTTAGCATTGCCCATACTCGCATGGCCTCAAAAAACTCCATTTAAATAACTTATTTTTACTTAGTTCCCATATCAAGTATGATGATAGTAATCCAATCACATGAAAACATGTAATAGTAAGTTAGGATTTAAAAAAATCAACATAAATAGTATAGAAATAAATTATACTATACTATCAACATAATCAACTCAACATGTTTTGATGTAATATTAACCTATAACTTAGCAATGTAATATATGGACAACACCACGTAATTAACACATCATATTCACAACACAACTTATCAATTCAACAACATATAGACAACACCACAACTAAACATATGCATCACACAACTCAACAATATCAACTATATATGCA